ATATATATATATTATATATATATATATGATTACCCTGATTAAAACATATATACTGTATTCATATAAACTATACATAAGGCCACAATACAGTTAAACACACCTTAACCGTTGCCCTCATCAGATAGCTATTATAATTATCTCCTATACTGTATTCACTTTCACAACCAAGTCGTCACTCTAATGTTTACTAGTTTGGTCTGGAACACACCACGCCCTCGCCTCACCACGGGGTTAAGACCTTCCAAGTTTGACCCCATATTGACGTTTCTGAATCAGGGAGCCGTTGGTAGAAGCGGTATCGCTCTTGCCTCGCAAGCAAGATGCCATGAGTTGGATTCCCGGGCCGGTGGAAGTTGTTTGGACATATTTCCTAGCCCACATTAGTCCCTGTTCACCTAGCAGTAAAGTAGGTACCTGTTGTAAGTCGAAAGTTGCGAATTCGTATTCAGGGACAAGTTGTTGGAGCTTCCAATAACTTGATGACATAAACCATTGACTACAGGCTTCTACGCCCTTATCTCATGAGACATAAAGGCAAGCATGAAGCATGCTTCCCTGTTGGGCGCTGTAAACGCTTCTGCGCTTCACCTTACACAAGGATGTAGGAGAGTGCCAAAGAAAAAAACAACTTTAATCCAACCAGAGTCCTTTGTCATGAGTTTAATAAAGAAGAATTTGGGCACACACAGACCCTGGGAGTGAAAAAAAAATCTTTGTTCCACAGACACACTGCAGGGACGTGTGACTATATGCTACACACCTTTGTTCCACTTCTTGGTCTGCATGTCTGCCCTCTACAAAGAAGCTTGTTGATGTTGCAGTCTGTTCTAAATACCCAATAGATAGTTGCCTTTTTTTGGTATAATGTACAAACTTCCCTATTAGTGGTTATTCACAAGGGGTAGAAGCAATATACAAAGACTTCCTGATACGCTGTCTGCTCACACTTCATATTCCTTTGTCTGAATGAACATGCCTACTCTGGCTCCTGCTTATTCACACACCTTCCAGGTTAAGTTTTAATGTACTAATTCACTTTTAACTTACCTAGAGTAAATCATTACATGGTGCAAAAAGGCATTTAATTTATTATACGTTACCCACCACTACAGCTTACAAGCCGTTCGAGCAGTGCAAATTATGCAAAAAAATACGATTAATTTTAATTTATAGAACAAAAATGTTGAAAATGTTAAAAAATATAACACAATTAAATAAAAAGCATATATCAGCTGGCTACTGCAAAACCATAACCATGTACGCAATAATCACCTGCGTGATTCATGACGTCACGGCCGCCAGTGTGCCCAATCAGCTGCGTTGTTGCTGACGTCACAGTCGCCACCCAAGTCAGTTAGAGCGGTAGCTATAAATAGTCGATTGTGTGCAGTCGCCGGCTCACTTTAACACGATATTACATGGTTAGATCCATAACAAATCTATGTTATGATGTTGTTATCTAGTTCTTGAAGCTATTAGTGTTCTCAACGTACCCAGATGACCTCCATTCTCTCGACACTCATTACATTTAGCTACGACTTGTGCAGCTTGCCTCGCCATCACGACTTCCAACACCACAACACAACCAACACTACCCAGTGCGTTCGAACTTCCTCATTGGCTCAGATTTTGGCGTAATATATCATACTAACAGGCTCCCAAAAATCAACGTGACACTTAAATTACTCAATATTTAGCCTATGAAAAATCATATTCTTAATATAAATTGTATCACATCAAGAGAAAACGCGTGCCCTGCGGTCTTCTTCACACACTTCGCAGCCACACAAACGCCAAATCAAATGAACCACGAAATGCGTCGTAACAATTTTGGTTCTAAACCAACTTTACGCATATAATTATGAGGGGTATCTTAGAGTTTATGTATTTTCCGAAACAAAATCATACAGCATCTTAAAGCACTTTGCACTGCAGTTACGATAACAATAAGCGAAATGAATACTTTACATGGGTTTTCAGTCCACCAAGTGTGTACGCAAATCAAAATCCATTGTCTGATATCATAGCTACAAGATTTCATGCATAACCCACACACACACACACAGTTAAGGGCATAATAGGCGTGTCACTCCAACATGCTCATCTGTAATGTAGAAGTTAGTACAACATAACAAACATCACGTTTGTTATGTCGTAATGTACACAATTGATAAGCAGAAGGCATAATGTTCAGCAGCGTAGGATAAGGCCGATCTTTATTTTTTTCCGAAACCAACTTACATCCTGAATTATCAACAAGGGGCTAAAACTCCCGGTGTGTGATAAATAGATACATTTATTTATTCAATAAAATCCTCATACAACAGTGATTCAGTATGTATGATGTATTATAATTGTAGTATATGGACAATACAGGTCAACATGCACAGTCAGCAGCACTAATTGCTCTCTTCCACCCCCCCCCCCCTATAGTAGCCGGAGCCACAGCCAGTAAAGGCCGATATTGAGACAATGCAACATCGCTAGCCACGATAGTTCCAAAACTAACCAGCAACGTTTAGACGGGGTGGGAGAAGGGTTTGTCCGTCGCCAGGCCTTCACTTGCCGTGGCTCCAGCGAAAAGGGGAGGGGGTGGTTAATTTCTGACTACATTTTATAGTCAATGCCGGTATACAGTTCAGCATGTATATAGACAACGCAGGCTACATTCAGCATGTATATACTGTAGACAGGTATGCCTCTACTGAATGAACTGGCATCCAATTTCATGTGACTACATCAGTCGAGTGTTTTTTTCAGCGCTCTAAGTAGTGGTTTCATAATCATTTTCTACAATGCTAAGAGGTTGAGAGTGATGGTAGAACTATTTACCACATGCCCACCCAGTACCATCCTCATACTATCCCAAACTTTTATGGTTAGGTTAGGTTGATACGTGTCATCTATTGCTAGTTTATGGCTAGGTTAATACCATTGACATCACCCACCATTCACTAATTCTTCACCGGGGGCCCCCTCCCCCTACAACCATTCCCCTGAGTACACTGTAACTTATGTCATCATTCGTCGGCACGCAATCTTCCACAGCAGTGAGAAATATTGACGCAAATACTCCTCTACCACTCACCTACTGCCAATAATTACTCGAGTGTACAATAAAAACATCACGTCTCTATTACCGCGCCAACCACCACCTTCACACCAACAATACACCACTCTTCCCACCCACCGCCACACATAAACACTTTCAACCACTTTACAAGAGAAGTTATTGAAAAGTGCATTACTATAAATACAACTTAAATACGATAAGAAAGAAAATTAATATTCTGAATCGAAATAAACACAGCTCGTATGTGGCCGATCCATGAAGTCAAGTGGATTTGATGGATGAGAGGGAAACAGGAAAGTGCTAAGCTTCTTTATTTCTCTTACATTATGGGCTACACAGAACTCAGCTTCAGAGAGAATACACCTCTTTTATGCATTCCCGTCCCTTCATCTCACACTGCCCTACTGACGACTAGAACTAATGATTCCTCTTCCTCCATTTCCTCCAACCACCCGCGCTCCCTTTGGATCAGTAGCGACCACGGTTCTTGGGCGTGAAAAGTGAAAGCAGTTTTCCACGTGGAAGCATCGCGTGTTCTACTGGCTGCCGACGTTGACTGTTGTTTCCAAACTGGTGTGCAATAGAACTCAAGGTCTTTTTGATAACCTGTATCATATATCTTCCATGTACTGTCTGTGTTTATGTAGGAATATGTTTACCTGTATTGCCTATACACACGCTGAATCAATGTAAACCTGTATGAAAATTTTACTGAATAAAACTGTACTGAACTGCTGATCCGCTGCATGCTTCCTAAATAATTTCTTTACTCGTGATTTAACAAAAGTACGGTGCTACTCAACACAGGGCGGGCGTATGGCGGTCCTGTTGGGTTCTGTAATGTAAACGTTCAAATATATAACAGGTGTAATCTAAATGTACTAAATTTACGAATAAAACGTGACAATTTGAAGGAGGAGGCTCGTCATGCTGCGTAGGTACAGACAGGGAAAGTTATAATATCCCACACCTGTCGTACCTTCTGTTCATCGTTCCAGATCTCCTCCCCCTCCTCCTCCCTTCACAGTCATACTGAACATTAAGAAAACCTATATAAATATGATAAGACAAAATAGATGCATTCCTTACATTGAATTATGGGTATTCCATTAGAAAACACCAAGGGTATATGGAATAGTTTAGGCAGTGTTGTTGACACGCGCCAATAACAGCTCGGTACTGTACCTGATGTTAACCAATATAATGGACAGCCAGAAGTAAATGGTGAGTGGGACCAAACCTCAGATTGTTTTCTGGTACATTTGTCTTCAGCGGTCCCTGTAACCTACTGTAGGTCTTCACTACGGCTCTGATTAATATTAATAATGGAGGGTATTACTTGCACAATATAGAAAAAAAAAGTTTGTATTTCTGGCACGGTTTATGACATAACCTTCTGAGTGAGAGGCAATCTAATGAAATGCTCACGTAGTCACAATAAGAGTCAACACCATACCTGCTATTCACCGCTACAGTGAAGTGAGAGGTAAATATCAACTCACCAGTAGATTAGGCACCCCAGCTTATTTCATGTGATGATTAAACACTCTAAAGCTAACCTACCGTAATCTACCCCCCAAGGAAACGTAAAGGTGTTGAATCACAAGGTGAAATAAGCTGGGGTGCCTAATGTTCAGATATGAACCATTTCATCATATATAGAAAACATGGGTCGTTTAAAAGACTAAAACATTACTGCACACTTAACTTGGCAGGCTACTGTATAAACTTTCTTTACAGTATCATTTAAAATGTTCAGCCATTTTACATTTAAACACATACACACACACATATATTTATATATATATATATATATATATATATATATATATATATATATATATATATATATATATATATATATATATATATATATATATATAAGATATTCAGCCTTTAATAAGTAAGGTCTCTAAGATAAGTTTACCAGGTTGGTGGGTGGTGAACATGGTGGAGGGTAGGGAGCGGGTACCAGGGTGTTATAAGATCTCCACGTCCTTGCTGAAGTCTACAAACTATCATCGGGAAGCCAACCTCACTCCTCCCTCCGTATGTGGCAACGCTCACACCTCAACGTTATCAACTAATTTTGTGTCATACCTCTTCAGTTATTGGCCGATAACGCACTGCTCCTTAGCCTCGTGAAAAAAAAAATTATAGTACTTGTTAGATAATATACCTTGTAAATTTACGAGGAAACTATCTCACCTTTCTATTGAATTCCAATGCTAAATAATCTACGATGAATACGACACTAAAACTACAGTAATTCAGTCAGTGCAGTCCTATAACTCAACACTGTAAGTAGAGAATTATGTATACCTGTAACCTTAATCTATTACAATACAGGTATTAGTATTTCTAACTATAGTCAGGTTATTCTGACACAAACCCAAAAACAAATTACTCTAAAAATAAATTCAGTCACCACTGTCAGATAAAATGTTCCTTTTCATGTATTTATATTCTAAGTTGACTGAACGGTGGACTATTTTATGCATACACACACACACACTACAGGTTAACCACTAGGAAATAGCAACACGAAAAAAATTCTCATGTTTTTATTTCCTAGTGGTTATGTACAGTATATACAGTATTGTAATGTGAATCACGTGTTGTTGTGTACCAAGTCAGCTAAGGCATAGACTGCAAATTGGCTTGATGAATCCACCCGGGCCTGCAGATACTAATATAATAGATAACCAGTACCTCTCACTTGGTCGCAATAAACACACCCTTGGCTTCCTGTTCTGAGCCAGACCTGCAACACGTAAGTGTAAAACTATTCTGTGTTTCACTGTTGACGTGAAAAATATTAATTGAGCAACCCCTGACCATTGATATTCAGCTTACATTGTGTTACTATTAAGATAATGTAATCATTTGTGTGCCAGTGTTAGGTAAATGTATTCACATCTATGTCATTGAACATTCAGTTCCTCTTATAAAATTGATTAATTATTTGTATTTGACAGGTTTCACCAAAATAAACTGTACTGTATCGAGTTGGTGTGGCGCGTTAATCTCCCTACTGGGCGATTATTTACTGCACGGTAGGAGTTAAGTTTCGAAGCAGTTTTAATTTGCTACATCACTAATTACTATGCCACAAAATGGCATGGTGAACTTGACTCGCTCATTCAATCTATTGGAGAAAACACGTTCAATATATTACTGAACGTCTTTAATGTTACACACATGATAATAACCTGACTGAGCCACCACTTGTTCTCATAATAACGATGTATGTGTGCGTGTTGTTGCTGCCTTGTTGTGACTGGTCACTTGTACTGGCAGTCTACCACCCTCACACTGCTTGTGTAATTCCACCTGTATTTCGTCTTGTAACATTAAGTTCAACTTCCCTTCAATAACATGACTACTTTCCAGTGGTTATCAAGGTGAAGTGACCAGCTGTGCTTATCGAGGCAACCTTGATCAGGGATTGCATAATTTTGTAAACATTTTCTTTTGTTTGATGTTACTTGCGATCAGGCGGCCATGACTGTTCCAGTAATTCACAACGTACAGTAGTTCTCTTCAAGGCAAAGACAAAACAAATCCACCACTAGATGAATAGTGTTCCTCATTTCACAACACAATTTATAGCTACAATTTGCGGACATAATTTTGCAACCATTAAGTGAATTCCTGTCTCGTACAATACTGAAATATCGGCGTATAACAGCAAGGAAACAAATAATAACTCGCAGGTGAACTTCATAGCCTTGCAGTAGCCCACAACTCCGTTAAAAGTGATTCATATCTTCCTACTCTTATACCCCCCCGCCCTGAGTACTGGATCTTACCTGTACCGAACTAAACATAAGTACCGGAATCTTTTGTGACATATCTACTGCCTCTCTTTGTCAGCTGAACTCGGGTTTGTTGCCTGGGAGAGCTACTTACGCATGACGACTTTAACGGAATATACGTATATCTATCTATCTATCTACAATGATATTACTGCTACTGCTCTGGTCACGTTTACTACAAAATGTCAATTGTCAGACAACAATACTCACAAATTAATCTGAATGTCAGCCAATAATATCCAATACTTAATTTTGTACATATGAGTACTTCCTGTTGACATAATCAACATGAAGAGTTACCCACCAAATGAGTAGAGGTGCCGCACCCTCCCCCCTGTTTACTGTGTATCATCAACGTTTTTTTATTACGGTATTCTGTAATGTTTTTTCTCTGCTCTTCGATAAGAGTGAACCCAGATTAAGATCCATGACGTGTAAACAATGAAGTGTACGGTTGCCTCGTGCAACAATAGCGCCATTGGGAGGGGGGCGAGTTGCTTTAGCAATAGTTTCCACCAGCGTTGCTGCCTATCAGCGTGGTTTGTGAAGGTGTGATGCCCATTAACCTGTCTGACACGCGCACACCTCCAATACACCCGAACACTTAGAATCTTCCTTGGAAACTTTTCAAGGAACTCTCAAATCCTACATATACCCACTGAGCTACTTCGAATTTTCTTGGTCGAATATATATTTGACCAAAGTCTTATAAACTTACAACGAAAATTCCGAGTTGCAAACATGGTGGGGTGTCTCGATTATCAGCGATTTATCCAGTTTCCCAAATAACTTAAAAGCAATATCAAAAGAAGATCGCAAGAGCATCATGGCCGCGAGACTGCTACAAGGATCCTATACTAGAGTATAGAATCCTTGACTGCTCCCAGTATGAGTCGGAGTCGTCCATGTCGGCAACAATCATGGTCCTGGTAGTGGCAGCTGATGATAATGTTCCTTTGCTGCCTCATAACACCATCACTGTTCAATAACGTTTCATTTATTCTCCTAAATTCTGACACTCATAAAAGAATTTATTCCCACTCAGCAAAGGTAAAAATACTACCAAGTCTTCTTAATTAACATTGGCACATCTGATGAGACGAACGACGAGGCAACTGAAACACAATAAAAAACGAATATCAACTTACTGAGAAACAATACACTGTATATAAATAACAGCGTGGAAGTTGCTGACATTCCAGGGCCCTGAATTTCACCCAAATTCTAGAAATATTTTTTATCTTTTTGGGGGGAAGAACATATGTTCATAGATGTTATCCATATGTGATAACAGTAGATTTAGGATAGTTTTGACATACTTTTTGAATGTGGGGAGAGTATGGTTCAGTGACCCCCTAAGCCATCGATCTGCTTGTTATCGCACATATGGATAACATCTACAAACATAAACTCATTACAAACGGCTCGAGAGACCACGATATTAATTTATTTATATTAGAGATGATGTGAACCAAACTGACCTAATCTAACTATTATAGGTAGCATTTTGTTACATTGGACAAGTCTGATAGGTTACACAGACCGCAACGTCAGCAATCCACACTGTCGCTGTTTTTCGTACGAATATTTATCATTTAAAAAAAATACAACACCTGTTTCTAAAAAAAAAAAAATATTTCGTAATTCTGAAAAAAAAAATTAACATATTAGGTCATGCAAATATAGAATTAATATTTTAACTATTTAATTACAAGTATGAAGGTATGGGTGTAACAATGCTAATGTTGGCGGTTCACGACCCGGCACTACCAAGTTGGTAGAGCCGGGTCGTGCCTTTTGAAGTAACCTCGTGTTGAGAGGCTTCACACACACACACACACACACACACACACACACACACATTCTCCTACTTCTGTCGTTTTTCTCAAATGCGGGCGAAAAAAAAAACCCTGATATACTGTTACTTCGAAAATTCAGTTATAGAATTTACAGTTAATGAAATGGCCAGAATATGAAATAATTTTTAGCACTTCTTGAAAGCAAATTATATGATGCCAAAATAAAGTACTTGGTTGTAACAGCAGGAGTAACGTTTCGACGTATGAAGGCCTTTTTGCTAAACTGTTGTATTCTATAGTTGTTGAGGTGACCGAACACTAACATGCCACAAAATTTACCTCGAACCTTCGGCTTTGACCTGGACCTGGTCTTCTCCCCCTTTTCTCGTGAAAATAAATATTCCTGTGGAGTTTCATTACCGCTATAGTTACAAGTTATACTCCAGATAAGGTAAAGGGGTACAACTAAATGTACTGGAAGTCTACCGAGCTGGAGTTGGTCTACCAGGATATCTATCTAATATACTATAGGACTAGCCGTCTGTCTGTCTGTCTGTGTGTGTGTCTGTTCTGGGCAGCCAAAACGGCACAATCGTTTTTCATCAAACTTGGTGGAAAAATCGCAAAAAATTCGTAGAGTGGAACAAACCTGTTCCCATGGCGATGGTTTCTTTAGGAAGGCATTAATTAACTATTTTCTTTATGATGGAAAACGATGCAAGTCTACGGACTTGGTGCACCCTAATTAACCATGCAAGTCTACCTACTTGTGCAACCTCAATCGCTGTACTTTGTCACGAGCGTTCAAGCTTTCACAAGGGCACGAAGGGCCTGCGATCACTTGTTTACACTGTAGCGTCCATTAATGATTAACCTAACCTCACCTATAGGTTAGGCACTACAATGCAAATATCCAGGTAGACCAACTCCAGCTTCGTACAGCGCTTACTATATACAGTGCAGTATAAATATCCCGGTAGACCGCATACTGTAATAGCACTAGAAAAAGTTAAAATACATACCTGTGCAGGCGGATGGTCGGACAAGACTAATGTACTCGTTCCCAAAATTATCTTTAAGGAGAGGTCAGATGAATTTCACAATGAACACTGCGACTCCTATTGTCTCGGGAGGGTTGTCAAAGTCCTTCGTCCGTTGGCATATTGTCTAACACAAAATCGTAAAGATAATTTTTGGAGTACCATACAAAATGGAAACAGGCAAATAATAATAATAATAATAATAATAATAATAATAATAATAATAATAATAATAATACCTTGGTACTTAAATGCATTTATAAACCGATAATTGAAAAAAAAAAAACTTACATGTCAAATATGAGAATTTGTACTGTATTTTGCAGTTCACATTTATTGCAGCACTAACGTGGCAATATACACTAGTTGTTAATTTTGGTTGTTTTAATAGGCAAGTCTCACATTGAAGACAGCTGCGAAATAATTTGTTGTCATGTGTGTTTTTTATTAATGGATCAAGTTTGACATTTTAATATTTTTTTAGGATAATTTCGTTACATGTTTTTATCATTCAATCAATTCTGAACAATATTTAAAAAAAAACTATCTACATGTAAATGCAACACAGAACTAACAATTGAAACAGATGGTTTTGTTAGCAAGTTACATAGGCGAAGGAAGAATAAGTGTATATACCGGTATGTAGGTAGCCTTGGGGGCTTCACGCACGAACACCAACACACCTACGTCAGTGTTATCATGGCTCACACTCTAACTATCTCTGGCGTGACGTGGCCATATTGGCACTGCAGAGCGGTCATGCACTGTGCTTTCATGACGAAATGTGGTAATAAGGTTCCCCCAAACAAAACTATACCAAAATACACAAATGTTGAACTCTGCAAATTCTCAGCTGAAGAGGAAAAGGATGGATCATGATAGATAAATCCGTCGTTGCTGACCCCAACAATAAACTGGCACCATAATAGTTCATTACTCCCTTATGTTGACAGTGACTGGTGTGTGTACCTGGTGCTGTTGTTAGTGACTGATGACTGTACCAGTTAGTGACTGATGACTGTACCTGGTGCTGTTAGTGATTTATGACTATACTTGTTAGTGACTGATGACTGTACCTGTTAGTGACCGATGACTGTACTTGTTAGTGACTGGTGAGTGTACCTGGTGCTGTTAATGACTGATGACTGTACCTGTTAGTGACTGATGACTGTACCTGCTAGTGACTGGTGAGTGTACCTGGTGCTGTTAATGACTGATGACTGTACCTGTTAGTGACTGGTGAGTGTACCTGGTGCTGTTAATGACTGATGACTGTACCTGTTAGTGACTGGTGAGCGTACCTGTTGTTAACTTACACTTAAAAGAGTTCAAGAGAGATACTAACGAGTAAGACAACAGAAAAATTAAAAATTCTCTTCCCTGTGAAAACACAAAATAACACAACCAATAAGTTTCTTAAATAACATGTTAAGATTATATTTATATCAGAATATTAAGTGTAAAGACTAGAATACTATTTGCCTACAGTCTACATGTCTGATACTCTGGTAAATTTAGATTGAGAACCGAATCTAAATCTTAAGATATTTCTATAACGATTAAGTCATTGATGCTTCGTAATGTTAGTCAATTGTGTGGCACTGGAACATGCCGACCAGCTCAAACAGCCCGACACTCCTCGATAGAGGTGTTGTCGAGGGTAAAAATGCCACACCACGAGATATTCATTGCCTCGCCAGTCGCACATCATATCTTATTGATAACACATTGATTTTCTGTGTTTACGTGTTTAGAGGTCCCGTGCTGTGCGTGCGTTTGTCAGTTGCATTAAAGTTCCTCACACGGACGTTGACATTAGCTTTATTAATCATAACAAAGAATGTTTATATATCAGCAATATGACAGCTAGCATTCTTCCCAATGGTCGAAAATACACTGTGATAGGTTACGACATATCTTCATCTTATAGACAACATAAAAGCTTTAATTAACACTGTTAGTTTAAAGGTTATAACTATAAGGACATAATATTCAGGTAAGGTTATGCCAAATTTATGGTTTATGTAAATACAGTAGTTTTAAGATGTTAGGCTCGAGGTGAGAACGTTATGGGTAGAAGGGACTGGAGAGTACATGACCATCCCCTGGGCCTCGGCCACCCGCCCCTCCCTACCCGAATTATACCAATCCCTGTCGGCGTTACTGAGCAATCGCTCTCAGTTTCACTACACATAAAACCAAACTTCAGTGAGAACAAATGACTTGCATGTTGGTCCGTACAGTTATTACTAAGAAATTTCCATCTTTATGACTAATACTCTGTATGCTTGATAGGACTCTCTGTGTCTACTGGGCTTTCTCTTCCATGCGCTGTCTCCTCTCGTCTCTGTTGCATGAAAGCTCTTTTTGTTTTTTAGGTTTAATTCTCTACTCGATCCCCTCATACTATAACCTACTTCCTTTGGTTCAATAATCCTTAATTCATTTTGTCGCCTTCTTTTTTTTTCTCCTATAATTTATATCTTTTCTCGCAATTGTTATCTTCTCTCTTTATTTTTTCTTATTCCCGCTCTTTAATCTCTCTCCCCCTCTCCTACTATCACTACCATATCTGCTCTCTCCCTCTCCCCACCCACAATAAAT